CCTGCTTATAAAAGTAAAAGACTTTTTTTCTCCTCCACCAGAAAGCGGTCCAGATTCTCAACAGTCTCCAGGCTCAGTGTGGTACCATGATTGCCATAAATAAATTTCTTACGCACTAAACCCAGTTTTGCCCTTTTCCCAGGAGGCTTTTGTAAAGCTCAACATAAATTCAGCTATCTCATATGATGCAATTGTGATTTAGGAAAAGCCAAGACCATCATCAATACACGGTTCCATCCTCCCACACCAACAGCCCAATCTAACTACCGCCAAGTCCCCGAGCCCCGAAACTCCCACCCACAAGCTGCCAAACCCTCTGGTTGCCCTGTCACTGGCAGATGCTACAATGCTCTGTCAGTAAAAGGTTTGTGAGGAATGGAAAAGTGCACCAAATCAAACAGAATGCAAAGACATTTTTACGAAATTCAGGATTTCAGGATCCTGGAATACTTCATGTTTAAGAATTAAGAGAGATTTGGGGCTTTGCAGCCCTGTGCTTCTCTGTCTGGCCAGCTTTAAAATGGCTATTCCCATCCACCCTAAAGGGAATCCGAGACGGCCCTTTGCGAAGACTTGGAACTTGTCCCGTGAAAAGCATTATGAACATACAACTCTGCAAAAGCAAACTATTCCAATTACAGGAAGACTCGTGTGTGCCACGGTCATCCCTTCTCTGTTGAACAATACGATGGACACTCACAGGTGGAGCGGCTAAGGGGAAGCCACATTCGTGCACTGCATTGAGCTGTGCCCCAAGACACTGACCTAGAGACGCAGTGAGCTGAAACACTATAATCACAGTTAGGTTACCGAAATTGCTTACTAAGGTTTCACCGCATCATGTAATACTTATTTCAGTCTGGAAAGCAATCTCCATACTCTGACCCCCTTTGTCACATAAAGGGTGGGACAAAAGTAGGCTTAAGTTGTGAGTACTGAAAATACAGTTTGTTCTTGTATTGGTATTCATTAGCTATTGTATTATTTTCCATACAAACAACTGTAAATCTACTTTTGCCCTACCCTGTATATGGGAAAACAGAGGCCCAGGAAGTGTAAAGACTTACCTATACCAGACAGCTCAGCCAGCAGAATGACTAAAATCCAGACTTCTTGATGTCTAGCCCCGTGCTCTTTCCACTCCCCTCTTCTGTTCCCCAGCTTAAAACAAACCCATTGTTTTCATACACTCTTTCCCCACCCAAGTCTCATCTCTCTCTGCTACTATCTGTGTACTCCAAACCACGCCCCCCCCCAAACTGCTTCTCTGGCTGCTTGAGCTGAACCTCTCATTTACTCCATCCCTCCTGGCCTAGCACTGTTCTTCTCCCCAAGACTATGCTCCCTAAACCGTGGGCTTCTTGTCCTTCCCAATCACCACCTCCTGTCTCAGCTTTCACTACACTCGGCCCCAGGACTCTCTTCTCTGATTCCTGAGGCCAGGCCTCCTTCTTACCCTGAGACCTTATGTAATGCAATAGTATGTTAGTTTTCTATGATGCTGTAACAAGTTTCTACAAAGTCAGTGCCTTAAAACAACACAAATCTATCTTACAGGTCTGTGGGTCAGACATCTGACATAGGTCTCACTGGACTAAAATCAAGGTACATTTCCTTCTGAAGGCTTTGGAGAGAATTCATTCACTTGCCTTTTCCTGTTTCTAGAGGCCACCCACATTCGTTGACTCATGGCTCCTTCTTCCATCTTCAAAGTCAGCAGGATAGCATCTCTCTGATCCTGCTTCCATCATCACATCTCTTTCTCTGACTCTCCTCTCCTACCTCCTCCCTCTTCTACTTTTCAGGACCACTGTGATTACACGGGGCCCACCGCAGTAACCAGGATAACTCCCTCTTTAAGGTCGGCTGGTTAGCAGCCTGAATTCCATCTGCAATCTTAATTCCCCTTTGCCATGTAACCTAATATACCCTCAGGTTCTGAGGATGAGGGCATAAAAAATATGGGGAGCTGTTAATCTTTCCTCTTCCCTTCAACACCCTCTCTTCATACCTTGACGCTGCCCACCCTGACCTAGAGAAGAATGGATTCTAGATAGACTGCGTCCATAAATGACCATGGGATACATCTTACCTCATGTGTCCCAGTGGTCATGTGGGAATTCTGTACTCAGAGGTCAGGAGGGACACTGGCCAGGCCACTTCACAGCCCTTTGTCTGCATAGAGCTAGGGAAGGCTGAGCCTAGAAATGGGGAAGAGAAAGGTGGTATAATGGTGTGGAATCCAAGGATCCAGAAAGACCTGCACACACAGTGCTCTTGCCAAGGCTGGCCTTGGTGCTGCTCAAACACAATATAAACACACTGAATGAGTGGGTTGAGCCTTCAATAGACAATTCCTTGGAAATAGACTTCATACTTAAATTATGAAAAGCCACTGCATTGTCAGGTTATCTACATTTTGTTTTATCAAAAAAAGAGCCCCAACCCAGACTATTGGGGAAGGTGTTATGGAATCAGCCCTATAGAGTCCTATTAACCTTATAAAAACTTAAAAATTAAAATTTTTGAAATAACTAAATATTCTCAGTAAGTTACAAAGATATAACAGAGAGTTCCTGTGTACCCTTACCCACTTTGTCCCAACGGTTGTACCTTACATAACTATAATACGATATCAAAAACAAAGAACTGACATCTGCATATCATGTGTGTAGAGTTCCATGCCATAAGACTGGGCTTGCAACACAGAAACTCGTGGACACTAGAAACAACTGCTGACCCAGAGCCCTGCTGTTGCTCTCTGCATGTTTTTCTTGGAGTGGACACTGGACCAGATGAGAGTTGGTTTTGCCACAATGCCCCAGGCTTAGTTTTGTCTTCCCAAAGGGAAAAGCCAGCCTTATTTGTTTACTTCATAGAGATGGAGAGAAAAGAGAATGGGCAACTCTCAAGCACTGTTAATTAAAATGTAAATTCACAATGAAGAGAAATTTGGCAAAATTGTGAAAAGTTAGAGATGCATGAGTGCTGTAATCCTACTCCTAAGTATATGCCCAAGAGAAATGGATATGTCCACCAAAAGAGTCATATAAGATTGTCCAGAGCCTCCTTATTCCTAATAACAAAAACTGTAAATAACCCAAATGTCTAACAAAAGGATAAACAAATTGTAATATTGTCATAAAATGAAATATTACCTAGCAACTTAAAGAAAACTTACTAATATACACATCATATAAATGAATCTCAGAAATACTATGTTGGACAAAATAATCCATGCCCAAAAGTTACATGCTGTATGATTTCATTTACAAGAAGTTTAAGAACGGCAAAAACAAGTCTAAACTAGGTCAACATAATGGTTATCTCTGGTGGGACATGGGAAGCAGAGCTACTGACTTGAAAGGGGACAGTGGTGAACTTTCTGGGGTGATAGATATATTCTATATTTTGATCTGGGTGCTGATCATATAGGTGTACACATATGTGAAAAGTCATGAAATTGTACACTTGAAATATGTGCATTTTAGCCCTAGCTGGTTTGGCTCAGTGGGTAGAGCATGGGCCTGCAGATTGAAGGGTCCTGGGTTCGATTCCAGTTAAGGGCAAATGCCCGGGTTGCAGGCTCAATCCCCCATGGGGGGCCTGCAGGAGGCAGCCGAGCAATGATTCTCTCTCATCATTGATGTTTCTCTCTCTCTCTCCCTCTCCCTTCCTCTCTGAAATCAATAAGAATATATTTTCATATAGTCATGTGTATTTCTTGCTAAATTAATTCCAAGGTCTCTGTATTTTTTTTATTGCAATTGTGAAAGGAATTTTGTTTTCTATCTATATTTTCTAACTGGTTTGTGTTGGTTCGTATATGTATGTGAAACTAACATGTATATATGTATCTGTGTATACATACATATATAATGTGTATATATATGATATGCGGGGATAGCATATGATATGAAATATAATGTCATGTGATATGGTATGTATATTGGCACACACACACTAACCAAAGAGCCTACCAAAATTCAAATTAGCTTTAAAAGTGTCTCTTCAGGGCCCTAACCGGTTTGGCTCAGTGGATAGAGCGTTGGCCTACCGACTAAAAGTGTCTCTTCCTTTCCCATATTTATACTTACTTTTCCTCAGTTTAAAACAATGGCTAGAAACCCTCATGATAATGCTAAATATTTTCAGGAATATTTGGCACCTTTAATGAAATGTTTCTAAGGTTTATCATTAAACAAGTTTATTCTTAGTTTCTCATGAACAGGCTCTAGTATGTTAAGAAAATCTCCTTCTGGTCTCACCTTACTAAGAGTTTTAAATCAGTAATAGGTAATAAATTGTACTAAATGCCTTTATGGTATCATGTTTGTTCCTTTTTTAGTCTGTTTAATGTAAATCACATTAATAAATTTCATGTGGAACTATCCATAAATTCCTGAAATAAGCCCTACATTAGAGAGATATGGTATATGTTTAACATAGTATAATATGTTAAACATATTATACCATATCCCTATAGAATCTTTATAACAATTTTCATAGGTGAGATTGATACAATTGTGTGTATACATTACTTTTGTCAGGATTAGGTATCATGTCTGATTCAAAAAATATGAATTGAGAAGATTTCTGTATATTTCTTTTATCCAAAATATTTAACAAGCATTGAACATTTTCAGGAATTACCCATAAAATCATCAAATGATTACGTAATTTTATACTCCTACCAGAAGTTTCTCCACATTCTCACCAATAGTTGGTGTTGTCTATCTTTCATTTCTTCATGAGGTTTGGATACGAGTAGGCAGTGAACAAGATTCAAGTGTGAGGCACAGCAAATTCAAGCCTGGGTTATCACTTTCACGTGAAGTCCTGGAGGCCACCTCCAGGTTGTGACACACACACACGATGCTGGGGCTTTAGGAGATGTTCTTCATCCTTGGACACAGAGTGTTCCTGCATATTACAGTACACTGCATGGGATCCAGAGTCAAAGTCCTGAAGGATCAGGTTCCCTGATTTGAACACGTCTGGACAGTTTGCTGGTACGTCATCATGGCCCAAACTAAACATGAGTCTGCATTGTTGGGCAAAGATAAGGTCCTAAAGTTTAAGCCTCTTTTTCACATTTCTAAAGGTTTTCCTAGGACACCAGGACGGGAGGGGTTAAGCATCACTGTCTATATAAGTTTGAGTTCTTATAGATTCCAGAATTATGAAGGTTATTTACTCTGGATCATGGGCTGGATATATTTTGTAGGTTTTAACACAGTGATCAATAAATAATGACAAACAATTTGAATTAAAAATTCTAAAGTGTTAATAGAGTTAGTAGGAGAAAATGTGTATGGGGGGACTGAAGTATCAAGACAATCATAAGAGACAGTTACTACAATTTTAAATATAATTGATGATATAAGCAAGGGCTTAAAAACTGGAAACTAACAGAATTAAGACTGCTGCCTGCTCCCATCCCCCCAACATTGAAGCCTGTAGAAGCCAGTGAATAGCAAGGAGTTTTTAAACCTAGAAAGTGAGTTGAAACAATGAACTTGGGTTTTCTGGATATCTTCTACTTTCCACAGATTATTTTCTCCCACCACTTTCTAACAATAAATAGTATGTCTCCTATGATTTATTAATTTCCTCTGTGGAAACTTTTCCATTGTCTTTTCCATTGTGAAGTCATGCAACTGCAAAGGAACTTGGAGAAATAACAGATACCATGAGATAGACCTGTCTCCAATCTGGAGATACCCTCCCACATTTGCTGAGGTATCCACTACCAGAACTATACTTAGGGTAATCAAATAAATCTGGGAGCTGTGTGAGCTCTAATGTGACAGTGGAGATGAAGGTGGGGTGCACTTGATAAGAACAATCTGCTCTTTAAAAAAAAATCTAAGGCAAGGCAATAATTTGGCCCTGGATCTCACTCAATTTTACTATGATTGAGTATCATTAAGGTATTGAATATACAATGTATCTTGCCTTTTAGTCTTTCAAGAACTATTTATTGAATGCCTACTACTATATACTAGACATTGTGAAAGGGACAAAATGGTAAGTAAAGAAACAGAGAAAAGACGTTATGAGTGGGAAGAGTAGGAATGGTTAAGAAAACATGAGCTGCTGGTGGGCTCCTTTATTACAAAGACTTTGTGTGTTCTTGGGTCCTTGAATCAGAAAAAATAAAGTAGCTATTCTGGATCCCTCTGACAGTCATGGCAAAGTGTGTGTGTGTGTGTGTGTGTGTGTGTGTGTGTGTGTGTGTGTGTGTGTTGATGGGTTTTGGAGAAGATGAAGGAGCATAAGGAGAATACCTCAATTTCTGCCCAATAGAAGTGGGAGGATGGAATCACTGATGTTCCAGAAGCTAAGAAAGGAAAAATGTAAATTATTTTCTTTACGCATGTGGTTTGCACACATCCTCCAACGTAAGACTCCCACTTGGGTCTAAAGTTGGAAAAATCTAGGAGTATGAAGAAGGGGAACAGAGCAACAAAGACCTGAC